TGAAGGCGAAAGGGGGTCAAACACCGTATTAGTATGGTGTTCCTAATAATCCTTTAGATGAGTGTATACTAAATTGCCAGGTTATGTTTTTGGACCATGGGAGAGAATCAGAGTGCCTGGAGGAAAGCCATGCAACACAGAAATTGAACTGTTTGGAGCCATATGAGTTTTTAAAAGTCATTTTATGGTTGGATTTGTGGATATGTTTTATTAATTGTATATGCTGGATATATACCTCAAATGAAAAATAACACTGAAGCTGGTTAAATTTCTATTTACTAAGATTTGCAAACAGAAACCTAGATTTAAGTCATATGTCATAAAAGGTTTGCCATGCATTACCAAGTACTTCCTGTGCAATCAGCCATATCCTGACCCCAAATTATACACACAGTGCAGCAGCTGTTCAGACTAAGCACACATCCACAGCCTATGGTATATGAGAATGACCTTTCATGGACGGCAACAATGGAAACTCAGCCGGAGGTGATTTTTGCTTAGATCTCATAAAGCCAGCTATCCATCCATCCAAACACACACACACACACACAGTTGTGTAATCATATCTTTTTGGGGACTACTCATTCATTTCTATGGGAAAAATGCTACTGTTAACTATGACAACCTTAACCCCTACTCAGCCCTAACCATAACCATAAGTAACTAAACAAAACAGAAGACCTTTTGCATTTTTTTGTCACGATCCACAGGGAAGCAGGCGAAGGAAGCCGTGAATAGGTACAAAACGAATTTATTTCAGGGCTGACACACTTCAAGACACTCATAACGTTAATGACCGGACTGGGGAAATGAACGGAAACGCGGACTAAATACACTGGACTAATGACAGCAATCAGAAACAGCCGTAAAACAGCCGGAATCCACATGAGGTTAATGAGGGGGGCGAAGCACAGAAGGATCAGCACGATCGGGGTGTGACATTTTTAGTTTTTTCATTGCAGTCACGGATTTTTATAAAATAGAGTTTTCCCATATGGAGACCAAGAAACTTTTCCCCATAAGGTAAAAAAATGGGTATTCATTACATTGTGGACACACACATACACACACACACACTATAGGCCAGAAGTATGGGCCCACCCTCGGATTTTAGAAATAGTAAACAATACACTGCTTTGTCAAACTATTATGACAAGCAAATATTAGCAATACTTAAAACAAATGTAACTGACTGGTTATCAATATTTTATAGCTTGTAGTGACACATTATTTAGCCACAAGGGCTGATACTATTGGTTTTGAAGAAGGCATATCAGGTCTGTCTTTAGTGCACTGACATTCACTTTGTGTTGGAATTCTACTTACAGTACTAATGTCAGAGCTTGATTTGCTTTTGGCCTCTCATTATTGTGTCTTAATAAACTAAACGATAGCCACTTGTCTGCCTTGTCCCAGATCAGTTTGTGAGAAGTTTAATGAACTGTCTGCTCCTCATTTCTGTTGGATCGTCTTCTGTATCACAACTGGTAAGTCATAATTTTTGATAAATATTTGTTATTTTTATGTTTGTAATGACTAGAAAGACTCGGCTAACAATTGAACAGAGGGCTCAAGTCAAAATTTTGAGTAAAGAAGGGTTCTCTCATCGCCAAATAGCCAGGAAGTTAAATGTCTCTAATCATGGAGTTACCTACTGTTTACAGAGAAAAAAGGCTGACAAGAAGCAACAGTGACCAAAAATGGTCCAGGGCAAGGAAAGTGATATCAAAAGCTGAATCAACAATTAGTTGTGACGTGCAAAAGTAATTGGAAGACGACTGCAGAGGTCTGAGGGCTGCGATTAATGTGAACAGAGGGAAATTGGTATCTCTTAATACAGTCAAGCAAAGACTGAGAGCAGCTGGACTGCATGGTTGAGTTGCTGCCAGAAAAAGAGACTACTATAGGCTAAACAACACAAAAACTGGCGTAGTCAGGACTGGGAGTACATTTTGTTGATGGATGAAAGTCCATCTGTGGGACAGTTGGGGCCAACAAGGTCAAAGTGAATGTCTACAAATGAGACAGAACTGTTTGCATGCTTAAAAAGGGGCTGGGAGGGTTTGGACACAAGTTATTTCCAAAAATTGCTAAAAAGGATGTTGTGAATATGTGTGGCTGAGTTAAAGGCATTGGGTTTGGGTTTTGATGAAACTCATACTTAGGCACTCACATTCATTAAATTGCACTTACAATGCATAGTAAATTCTTACATTACACTTCAAAACCAGTGAGTTACATTTGATCTAAGTGTTTCTAATATTTTCTTATAAGTTCGAAAAAGCAGAGTATCGTTTATTTTTTTTTTTTAATTAGATGGTGGGCCAAAACTTCTGGCCTGTAGCGTGTGTGTACATATGTATATATCACACTATACACATACACACACACACACACACACACCGATCAAGCATAACATAAAAACCACAGACATGTGAAGTGAATCACATTGATTATGTCATTAAAATGGCACTTATCAAGGGTGCAATTACAGGTCCTTCTCAAAAAATTAGCATATTGTGATAAAGTTCATTATTTTCTGTAATTGACTGATAAACATTAGACTTTCATATATGTTAGATTCATTACACACAACTGAAGTAGTTCAAGCCTTTTATTGTTTTAATATTGATGATTTTGGCATACAGCTCATGAAAACCCAAAATTCCTATCTCAAAAAATTAGCATATT